TCTCTACTAAAATTTTTTAAAAAATTAACTGGGCGTGGTGGCACACGCCTGTCATCCTAGCTACTTGGAAGGCTGAGGCAGAAGAATTGCTTGAACCCAGGAGGTGGAAATTGCAGTGAGCCAAGATGGCACCACTGCACTCTAGCCTGGGCGACAGAGCGAGACTTAGTCTGGGGTGGGGGGGAAGAATACAATGCATTGTTATTAGCTATGGTCATCATGTTGCACAATAGATCTGTTGAATTTATTCCTTCTATCTCACTGAGATTTTGTATCATTTGACTAACATCTCCCCAAATCCCCACTCCTTCCCAGCCTCTGTAACCACCAGGTACTCTTTGCTTCTATGACTTTGACTTTTTAAGAGTCCACTTATGAGTGACATCATACAGTATGTGCCTTTCTGTGCCTGGTTTATTTCACTTAACATAATGTCCTCCAGGGTTGTTGTCAAAAATAAAGAGATTGCTTTTTTTTAAAATTAAGGCTAAATTGTATAGATATTATTGCAAAAGAAAAATGCATGTGCATTGTAGAAAATTTGGATACACTGAGAAATAGAAAATAAAAATTACTCCTATCTCTCATTACCCAGATAAAATCATTATTAAAAATCTGTGACAAACACCTCCAGATGCCTCAGCAAATTAGAAAAAGTCTCATTTCTTTTGTCTCATAAAATTCTATACCTCATTTCCAGGCACAAATCTTTTCCAATTTTACTGCCCCTTATCTTAGGAAGTAGGCATAGTCAATCCAAGACACTCTCAATAACTGTTTCTTTTCTTTTGCCTTTTTTCTTTCTCTCTTTTTCTTTTCTTTTTTTCTTTTTCCAGAGTCTTACTTTGTTACCCAGACTGTAGTGCTGTGGTGTGATCTCAGCTCACTGCAACTTCCACCTCCCAGTTTCAAGTGATCCTCCTGCCTAAGCCTCCTGAGTAGCTGGGACTACAGGCATGCACCACCATGGCCAGCTCATTTTTCTATTTTTGGTAAAGATGGTTTCACCGTGTTGCCCAGGCTTGTCTCAAACTCGTGGGTTTGGGCGATCTGCCCGCCTCAGCCTTTCAAAGTGCTGGAATTACAGGCATGAGCCACTGTCCCCAGCCAAGAATGATTTCTTCTTCATATTCTTTCTGAGTTATATGAAATATGTTTCCTTGGGGAAAGCTATTAAATCATCTAAAATTTTATATTTATTTTCATAGTGAAATTACTCCACTTGTTTTACAAGTGGAAATTTAATTAGTTTCTAGTTTTTTCCCCAACATCAGTTTAGCAACCCTTCATTAGTAAGATGGCAGCCCACCCTACAACAAGCTAATTAAGCACATTAAACCCTGCTTGTCAACTCACATACTGTGCCCGATCAGCTAAACTACTAGAGGGCACTGCAGAATAATTACTAGAACCAAGATTTGATCAGTGTTTCAGAATTTACACTGTGTCCATTTACAGACATTTCACATGTACTTTATTATGTCGTCACCATAGCAACTCTGTGAAACAGTAGTTTTATCTCTGTTTTAGAAGTAAGAAAACTGAGATTCAAAGACATTAAGTGATTTTCTAAAAATCTCATGTTCAGGAAGTGGAACAGAAAATGGTATCTATTAAAATTTTCTACTACTGATGGTTTTTGTTCCTAATTTCCCATTAAAATGTTTCAGAATTGAAATGCTTTCATTTAACAATAGACAATACATATGGGAACTATGTGCACTATCTTTTCAATGTTTCTATAAATGTAAAAACTATTCTAAACAAGTTTATTTAAATATAAAATAAGATATATAATCTTATAAAATTACATACATTGTGTTAAAATATTTTAAATATAAACAGTTCTTTCCTAATTCCATTTCTGTCTTTACTGCTTTTAAAATCTGTGATTAGCCAGGAGTAGTGGCATGTGCCTGTAGTCCTAACTACTCTCAAGGTTGAGGCGGGAGGATCACTGGAGCCCCAGAGTTCAAGGTCAGCCTGGACAACAAGCAAGACCCCATCTCTTAAAAAAAAAAAATCCTGTGATGTTTGGTAAACACAGATCCCTGGTTAAAGGCTAGACTGCTGCAATCTTCCAGCTGACAGACCATATCTGGCAGTCGAGAGTCCCTGGGTATAATGAAGCATCTCTTCCACTGTGGCCAAAGACATTTCCCTACTAGGTTTCTAACTTGTTCAGCCCCAGAGAAATGCTGACTTTCGTAAATAAAATTTCACCCCTTTTGGAATATGAGTGTTCCTAGGGGTGATTGCCTGAGAACATTGGATGTACTTCAGGTCCCAACTCAACAAACCTGTGCCCCTCACTGGCCAAAAGCCCACACCATTGCCTCTGAATTTTCTCTAGAGTTTCATTGCAATGACTAGCTAGTCATTCTTCTGGTAGAAGTGGGGACCCCAGGAGAGAACCCCAAGTATCACTTGGCTTTCCTGATGGCACTTAAAGTCCCCTTTCTTTTAGTGGTAACAAAATTTAACTACTTAGCAACCCCTTGTTGTTAAAGAGGATCCCATCTTTGCCTACACTTTTTCATCTTCTGTCTTCTGAGGATGGGTCAGCCAGATGTGTTCTCTGGGCTTTTAGGAAATTGAATTTGGAGGGAAGGGAAGAAGATTGAGGACAAGAAGCACTCAGGTTAGTGGTGGTAGAAAAATTTCTCAGAGAAAACCCTCGCTTTTATCTGGACACATGGCCTCCCAGAATCTCCAGCTTCCTTTGCAGCTAGGTGTGGCCATATTAGCCAGATGACTAGGTTTTGGCCAATGGAATGCAAATCAAAATAATGTGTGCAACTTCTGGGTTACGCCTTTGAGATTAAGGGGTATGATTCTCTTTCCTTTTTTTTTTTTTTTTTTTTGAGACAGAGTCTCACTCTTTTGGCCAGATTAGAGTAGAGTGGTGTGATCTCAGCTCACTATAACCTCCGCCTTTCGGGTTCAAGCAATTTCCAGCTTTTTTTTTTTTTGTATTTTTAGTAGAGATGGTGTTTCACCATGTTGGCCAGGCTAGTCTTAAACTCCTGAGCTCAAATGATCCACCCACCTGGGCATCCCAAAGTGCTAGGATTATAGGCATGAGCCACCACGCCCGGCTTCTTTCCCTTTTTTTGCCAGCAGGAATGTGGGGGTGGGAGTAGGTCTTCTTGTTCATAAAGATAGGGGCAACACCCAATACATCACAGAGCAAGAGAGAAGAAACCTAAGCCCTTGACTACCTCGCAAAAGAAAGCCACCATGTTTTCCCACGAGAGGAATAATCTTCTCACGTGTTAAAGCTATTGGATACAATTTCCTACATGCTTGAATGGATTCCCACCCAATGTCATATCTGTGTCAGGCTCTGGGCCCTCTCAGCACCTCCTATCCCATTGTAATTAACTAGGCCAGGTTTAGGATAGTGCAAGTTACAATTTGTTCTATACTTTCTCTCTCACTCCCAACCCTGTGGTTCTTAGACATATTCTCTGTGAAAAGCATTACACAGTGTTTTCTCCCTCCCTCCTTCTGTTCTTTACTGTAAGCTTTCAGTCAATCACTCTCTCCCCCCTCTCTACGGCTCTGTTATTAAGCTCACCACCTTTGTGCTGCTGGCATCTTTTAAGGCTGCAATTCTGTGGTTCTGCTGCTCATTCCCAACGGACTTGTTGCACAGTCAAATGGGGCAATTTATCCCCTTCAGAAAACTCCATCCTCTTGCTTAGGAAAAGGACAGACTCTCTCACTTAAGACCACTGGGAAGATTACTTTCTTACGGAAAACAAACACATTCTCACCTCGTATCTCATGACACAGACGCTCTTGGAAGACTGGATCTTGACAGGACAGATCCAAAGACTGAAACCAGCCCTACCCCATCCCCAGAGGAAATCTCGTTATGGGGGACGAAGAGTCACTTGCTCAAGTCAGAGACAATGGCACCTCCCTAAAGACAGTCCAGCCAAGCTGTTGGCATGAGAAAGAGGCTGCAAGAATTACAGCAGCATCTTGCTGAGACAGCGGGGCATGGCAATGGGAACACTAGAAATAAGCTACATTTGGAGAAATTGCCTTGTGTTTGGTATTAGGAAGGTTTGGCAGCAGATACCAGGACTCCAGGCATCAGGCAGAAGTTTAAAGCCAGGACTTCAGGACCTAGAGTATTGATTCTCAACTGGAGGTTATTTTGTCTCCCCAGGGGATGTGTGGCAATGTCTGGAGACATATTTAGTTGCTGTAATTAGAAGATCCTACTGGCATTTAATGAGTGGAAGACAGGGATGCCTCTAAACATCCTACAATGCTTAGGACATCCTTCACAGAGATACACACCATAACAAAATTTCCCATCACAAAATGCCAACAGTGTCAAGTCCAAGGAACCCTGCCCTAGAGGGACTAGCATTCTCAGGGAAGGCTCCAATCTCAGGATGACATGGGTCCTGAGCAGTCTGCCTAGGCACAGGCTCAAGAACTGAAAAGAGCTGGCTCTGATGACCAGAGCTATGCTGGAGGTCAGAGGAAGAGGACAGAACCCCATTGATCAGAACTAGCATGCAAGGTCACAGACGGACTAGGAGCAAAAGCAAATTAATCCCAAGTCCCCGGGGCATCCCACTGGAACAGCTTAAACTCTTCTAGAAAACTGGGAGGGTTGTTCTACAGCAGAATTCTTTTTTTTTTTTTTTAATAAAGATGGGCTTTCACTGTGTTGGTCAGGCTGGTCTTGAACTCCCGGCCTCAGGTGATCCGCCCACCTTGGCCTCCAAAGTGCTTCAATTACAGGCATGAGCCACCATGCCCGGCCACTACAGCCAAATTCTTAACCTGGCTCCATAAACCTTTCGGAGGCAGAGGAAGATCCATGCACAGATATAAAGGGATCTCGACACACATCCAATTAAATGCAGTTACGTGTTTTTATAACTTCCTGGGCATCTTAGTTTGTTCTGGCTGCTACAGCAAAATGCCATAGACTGAGCGACTCATAAATAACAGAAATTTATTCATTTCTTACAGTTCTGGAGGCCAAGAAGTCCAAGATCAAGGCACCAAGTGATGCAGCATCTGGTAAGGGCCCACCTCCTCGTCCACAGATGGTGCTTCCTTGCAGTGTCCTCACATGGTGGAGGCGGTGAGGAAGTTTTCTGAGGTCTCTTATACAGGCACTAATCTTTGTCATGAGGTGACTTAATCCCTCCCAAAGGCTGCTCCTCCTTCCTCCTTCCTCTTTCCTCCTTCCTCCTCCTCCTTCCTCCTCCCTCCTCCTCCTTCCTCCTCCTTCCTCCTCCCTCCTCCTCCTCCTCCTCCTCCTTCTCTTTTTTTTTGACACAGAGTCTTGCTTTATTGCCCAGGCTCTGGAGTACAGTGGCACAATCTCGGCTCACTGCAACCTCCACCTCTCGGTTCAAGTGATTCTCCTGTCCCAGCCTCCCAAGTAGCTGGGACCACAGGCATGCACCACCACACCCAGCTAATTTTTGTGTTTTTAGTAGAGACAGGGTTTCACTATGTTGGCCAGGCTGGTCTCCTGACCTCAAGTGATCCGCCCACCTCAGTGTGCCTTATATTAACTCATCTAATTTGCATAACACTGATGAAGTAGGTGCTTTTTCAATCCCATTTTATAGCTGAAGAGACTATGACTCGACTTCCTTAAAGACAACGTTTCCCAACTTTCTTCACAGCATGGCACACACACACAAAATTGTTATATAGAAAAGCTAGTAGAATTACTGAGATTTTAGTAAGCTTGCTATAAATAAAATCAATATACAAAAAGCAATTGCAAACCTATACTTTAGCCACAGATATTTAGGAAATACGGTTAAAAGAAAGATGCCAATTACAATGGCAATAGAAGCTTAAGGCATCTTTGAAAAAAATGTAACAAAACATGTATAAGACTTTTATGAAGAAATCATAATGCCTTAGTGAAAATACCTCAATGGCACAGTGGGGTAAAGAGATGGGAACAGGGCTGGGGTGGTGATGCATGCCTGTAATCCCAGCACTTTGGGAGGTCAAGACAGAAGGATCACTTGAGCACAGGAGATTGAGGCTGAAGTAAGCCACATTGCCACCACTGTACTCTATCTAGCCTGGGTGACAGAGGAAGACCATTCTCAAAAACAACAAAAAAGAGAGATCAGAATGTTTATGACCAGAGGCAACTTGGCCAGGGCCTCCTGCACCCCCATGTCTACTTCTCACTTATCTGCCTTGGCCTCTTCAGGGTTGAGTGTTTAAAATCTCTGAAGCCCACTCAGAACACACCAGATGGAAAGCTCTGCTATTGCCTTTTGGCTGGAACCACCATCTTCCAGTAATTCGCCAAAATGATGAACACAGAGGGAAAGAGTAGAGGCACCTGATGTATGTTCTCTAGGCCTTTTAGAAAACATGGGGTTTGTCCTTTGACCACATATATGCTAATCTATAAGAAAGGTGATATTGTAGACATTAAGAAAATGGGTACTGTTCCAAAAAAGAACGCCCCGCAAATGTTAACCATGGCAAAACTGGGAGAGTCTGCAGTGTTCTCCAGCATGCTGTTGCCATTGTTATAAACAAACAAGTTAAGGGCAAGATTCTTGCCAAGAAAATTAATGTACGTATTGAAAGCGTTAAGCACTCTAAGAGCCCTGATAGCTTCCTGAAACGCGTGAAAGAAAATGATCAGAAAAAGAAGGAAGCCAAGAGAAAGGTAGCTGTGTCAGCTGAAGCGCCAGCCTGCTCCACCCAGAGAAGCTCACTTTGTGAGAACCAATGGGAAGAAGCCTGAGCTGCTGGAACGCATTCCCTATGAATTCATGGCATCATAGGTCTTTTATAAAAATAAAAGACCTCTGGACTGTAAAAATGTTTCTCTTCATTGAGTAGAAGTGGGTGTCCCCTCCCACAGAGAAATATTTAAAGCAAATTTTAATTGCATTCTATTTCATTGTGTAATGACTTTACTATCCAAATTTTAGGTTATTCTTGCTGAAAGACGTGAGGTGGCTTATTGTGCAACAAATTACTCAATTGGTTAGAAAATGGGCAGATATTATTTATGAAATATTTGTACTGATTTGAAGATAGTCCCTCTAGATCATCATGGGGCTGGGGCAGTGGGTCACACCTGAAATATCAGATCTTTGGGAGGCCAAGGAGTGCAAATCACTTGAGGCCAGGAGTTCAAGACTAGCCTGGCCAACATGGCAAAATCCCGTCTCTACTAAAACTACAAAAATTAGCCAGGTGTGGTGGCATATGCCTGTAATCTCAGCTACTCCAAGGCTGAGGCACGAGAATCACTTGAACCTGGGACATGGAAGTTGCAGTAAGCTGAGATCATGCCACTGCACTCCAGCCTAGGAGACACAGCAAGACTGTCTCAAAAAAATGAAGAAAGAAAAAAGAAAAAAAAAGTTATGGAAGAAATAAATTTGTCAGCAGATACCAGGACTCTGGTATTTACAAAAAGACAGCTCTGCAATTACCACTAAATATATTTAATTAGTAGCTATAATTCTTCCAACAAAGAAAACACCAGGCCTAGTTAGTTCAAAAGGCAGGCACAACCAAACATGAAAGAGGTCAGTGCAGAATCACACATGAAGTCTTGCAGAGAATAGAAAGAGGCATGAGCATCCAACTCATTATATAAGGCTAGTGTAATTTTCGTACTAAAACCCCCAGATAAGGACCTGGAAAAGAAACTTTTAAGCCTGTAAGATTTATTTTAAAATCCTTTTAAAAGTTGAGGAAATCAGATCAGCAAGGTATAAAGAAGTTAATCTGTTGTGACCAATAAAAGCTTAATTTCACATTAATTTACCACATTATCAGATTAATGAAAAAATATGATTAGCTCAATAGATTAAAAATAGCAATTGATTAAATCTAATAATCATCTATGATTTTAAAAATTCTTTTTTTTTTGAGATGGAGTTTCGCTGTTGTTAACCAGACTGGAGTGCAATGGCACGATCTCGGCTCACCGCAACCTCTGCCTTCTGGTTCAAGCAATTCTCCTGCCTCCTGTAGTCCCCCGAGTAGCTGGGACTACAGGCGTGCACCACCATGCCCAGCTAATTTTTTTCTATTTTTAGCAGAGAGAGGGTTTCACCATGTTGACCAGGATGGTCTCGATCTCTTGACATCATGATCCACCCACCTCGGCCTCCCAAAGTGCTGGGATTATAGGCATGAGCCACCGCGCCCGGCCAAAATTCTTAATAAATTAAGGCTAAAAGGGACTATCTAACCTGATAAAGGGAAGTTGCAAAAATTGAACGTCACATATCAAACTCAATGGTGAGACTTTAAAAAGCATTTTCTTTAAAATTAAAAATACGATAAGGATGACTGCTCTCACCACTTCCATAACATTGTACTAGATGATCTAGCTTGCTCTTAAAACAGGAAAGAGGAATACAAGGTAAAAATACCTGAAAGAAACAAACTGTTTCTATTTATGAATATCTTACTGGGAAACTCAGAAGAATCCATCAAAAAGCCATCAGACTTAATAGGAGCTTGGCAAGTCTGCCATAAGTAAGGTCAACATACAAAATACAATTGCAAATCTATACTTCAGCAACAGATATTTAGAACACATAATTAAAAGAAAGATGCCAGTTACAATGGCAATAAAAAATATAAGACACCTTTGGAGTAGCTCTAACAAAAATATGAAGACTTTTTTAGAAAAAATAACTTCAGTAAAAGATAATAAAGAAGATATAAATAGTTTTTCCCTAAAATAAGCTGTAAGATGTAATGACTTTCTATTCCTGGAAGTTGACAAGCTGATCCTAAAATTTATATATTTTATATAGCAAAGCAAAGGGGCAAGAATAGCCAAAATAATCCTGAAGAAGAACAAGTGTTAGTAATTACACTACTGCCAGGTGTTAAGAATTGTTATAAAGTCATCAGTAATTAAGACTGTGATATAAATTCAGAGATACGTTCATGAACCAAAACAGAGTCCAGAATAATAAGACTTGTGAATAGATGAATATATGAAAACCTCACCTATGACAAACTGGCATTGCAGATTAGGGAGAGGGTGAACTATTTTATAAATATTGATTGATTAGCCATATGAGGGAAAAGTTAAACTTACTCCAACCTTACACTATACACAAAAGTAAATTCTACATGGATAGACAATTTAAAGGCAAAATTTTTAAACTTTAGAATAAAACATAGAATATTATCTTTCTAACCTTGAGGGAAGGAAGAATTTCTTAATGCAAAACTGGAAACATAAATTCAACTACATTAAAATAAACAAGTCATGTACTGTGGCTCACGCCTGTAATCCCAGCACTTTGGGAGGATCACTTGAGCCCAGGAGTTTGAGACTAGCATGAGCAACATAGTAAGACTCCCATCTCTTAAAATTAAAAAAGCATATATACTATATATATATATAAAATACACACACACACACACACACACACACATTAGCTGGGTGTGGTGTCACAGCTACTTGGGAGGCTGAGGCAGGAGGATCTCTTGAGCCCAGGAGGTCAAGGCTGCGGTGAGCTGTGATCAGGCCACTGTACTCCAGCCTGGGTGACAGAGTGAGAGCCTGTCTCAAAAAATAAACTATGGCTTCTCCAAAGACATCAAGATACCAAGAGAGTGAAAACATAAGTTAAAAACTGGAGGAAGATACCACATATATAATGGCCTTGGGCTTAGAATTGAGACTATTCTCAGCATAAGAATGGACTAATACAATAATTAACGCACCTGAGCATAAATCCTAGAATTGAGCTCCTTTGAATCAATAAGAAAAAGAAAAAATTTAATAGAAAAACAACATGAATAGTATTTCACAGAAGAACAATTCCACCCAATTTCTATGTGGTACACATTTGAAAATATGCTCAACCTCATTAACCATTTTATATGCTGTAGCTTGGCAAAAATTAAAAAGTCTGACAATAGCAAGTGTTGGTGAGAACTTATAATAATGGGAACTCTCATACTCCGCTAGATAGTAACCTGGAACTATCTAGCAAGGTTGAACATGTGTGTTACTCCTACCACTGAGCAATTTCTCTCTTAGTGTGGTTGCAGACTTCTAAGTTGGTCCCCAAGCATCTGAACCTTCTAGTATTCATGCCCACATATAACTCCCTCTCTTAAGGGTGGGCTGCACCTAATGACTTGAGTCTAATGAGTAGAATACAGCTAAAGTGATGAGATGGCACTTCTGATATTAGTTTTCAGAAGACTACCTTCTCCTAACTCACTCTCTCTCTCTGTTTCTTCTTGATAATTTTACAAAAGCACTTTGTTGAAGCAAACTGCCCTCTGGATAGACTGTCGGGGCAAGGAATTGAGCATCCTCACCAGTGGGGAAAGGAAGCCTGCAACCCAATAGCCAAGCAGGAATTGGCCTTGCCAGCATTCATGTGAATGAGCTTGGAGGTGAATTATTCAACAGGAGATGAAAGCAGCACCTGCTGAGCCATGTCTGGATTCCTCACCCACAGAAACCGTGAGATAATAAATGTATATTGTTTTAATCTGCTACATTTTGGGGAAATTGTTTATGCTGCAATAGATAATTGATAAGGTTTGGCTGTATCCCCACCCAAAATCTCATCTCTAATTATAATACGCATTGTAATTCCCATGTGTTGGGGATGGGACCTGGTAGGAGGTGATTAGATTATGGGGTAGCTCCTCATGCTGTTCTAATGATAGTGAGTTTTCTTTCTTTTCTCTTTCTTTCTTTCTTTCTTTCTTCTTTCTTCTTTCTTCTTTCTTTCTTCTTTCTTCTTTCTTTCCTTTCCTTTCTTTCTTTCCTTCTTTCTTTCTTTCTTTCTTTCTTCTTTCTTTCTTTTTGAGACGGAGTTTTGCTGTTGTACCCAGACTGGAGTGCAATGACACAATCTCAGCTCACCGCAACTTCCGCCTTCTGGGTTCAAGCAATTCTCCTGCCTCAGCCTCCCGAGTAGGCTGGGACTACAGGTGCGTACCACCATGCCCAGCTAATTTTTGTATTTTTAGTAGAGATGGGGTTTCACCTTGTTGACCAGGATGGTCTCGATCTCTTGACCTCGTGATCCATCCCCTCGGCCACCCAAAGTGCTGGGATTACAGGCGTGAGCCACTGCACCCGGCCAGTGAGTGAGTTTTCAAGAGCTCTGTTGGTTTTATAAGGGGCTTTTCTCCCCTTCTCTCCACACTTCTCTCCTGCTACCATGTGAAGAAGGGTGTGTTTGCTTCCCCTTCTGCTGTAATTTTAAGTTTCCTGAGGGCTCCCCAGCCATAAGGAGATGTGAGTCCATTAAATCTTTTTCATTTATAAATTACCCAATCTTGGGAAGTGCTTCATAGCAGCATGAGAATGACCTAATACAATAATTAACACACCTGAGCATAAATCCTAGCACAGACCTTCCCAGCAGATGAGCCAAGGCATACTCGTATGCAAAATGTGAATTACAGGTGAGCCCAACATAGCGATCCTTCAACTATTGGGGATGCCAAGAGCAGGTGGGTCAAGGTAGGCCTGGAATTACTAGAGCTTAAGGGCAGGTTATCCCCAGTAGGGGAAGCATACTAAAGCATATAATAATTTGGATTTACAATGGAAAAATAGATTTTAAAGACTGAAAGAGATAGGAGAGAGAATAGAAGAATAAGGCCTAAATAATCTTTAAATCTTTGCAAATTCTAAATAGCCAATTCTTCTTTGCTGAGAAGAAGTGAAATCTATGATATTTAGAAATCCCATTAAAATAAAGTTATAAAATCTCTCACATTTAGCCTTGGGTAGTTCGTTTTGTTAAATGGATGTACAGAAAGGAGGCAGTTTCCCTTAAATGGAGCCATTTAGGTGTCTAATTGGAGGTCCGATCCCTTTTTGCAAAAGATGTTTTTTATCTGCTGAATACAGTCAACTCTCCCGCATGTCCTCTCCCTGGTTTATTTGCTTACTCTGGGAAATGAAAGGATGGCGTGGTTTGTGAACCAGAAGTTGTTATTCTTTGCCTGCATATCATGTTGGCTTTTTTTGTAAGAAAAATCACAAGAATATATGAAAGTTTTTTTTTTTTTATGAATAGAACCCTTTATTTTTCGGAGAAAATGGACGGAACAGTTTGGGGCTTGGGGTTGCCTGTTGCTCTTGTATGAGCACCTCCCACTGCTTTGACTTTATTCTGCCGCATACTCAGTGCCAGGATTTACGTTACCGCCATGGGGAACAACTGGATTTAGCATAAGTAAGAGTAACTGCTTTTCCCCTGGGGAGAGACAAAAAGGATAAGTGCATAAGGCGCAGAGACAATATTATTGGGAGTTATGTTCCTGTTCGGCTCTTTTATTCACTCTGAATTCTGGATTCTGTTGCAAATAATAAAAGCAAGAAGCTTGCTGGCCTGGAGCCAAGGTCTGGGATTAGCAAAGACTATTTTATTTGGGGCTAAAAAAAGTGTGTTCATTCGTGGTGGTTCTATACATTACACATTTGGCCATTTGGATTAAAAATTGTGTTTTTTTGGTAAATTGATATTTCCAGGGAAGCACAGTCAATAACAATTTGAATTAGGCAGGGAAAGGTGAGTTTCTCCCCCCACGTCTACCCAGGATGAATGCAGAAGGTATCTGTGCACACCTGTTCCTGCTTTGTCAAACATTCTCACGCTGCCTTATATTCCCTGGGCTTGGGTTGGACAGCTATCATCCATCCCCTTAATAACCTGCATCCTTTTCTCGCCGACTTCCAACCACAAGGTAACTTTGACACTAACACCCTAAAACCAAATGCCAGTTTTTCTTTTTTACTCTTACCTCAAATATCCCAGTTTTTCTCATAAAATCCATTGAATGAGTTGCAAGACCCCATTTTGAACTCAGGCAGACCCTGGTTGAAGTCCCAGCTTCCCTGCATGCTACCTATCTTCAGGATCCTAGGGGAAATTACTTAATTTTCCTTCACTTCAATTTCCTCATTGATAAAATGAAGAAGAATAATTGCATACATCTCATTGGGTTTTGTGAAGATTAATGAAACAAGAATAAACAGCATTATACTGCATGGTACCTAGTAATAAACAAAATGTTATCTTGATTATTAATATAGGGTAAAATGGTAGTCAGAGAAAAATTTATATCTTAAATACTGATATTAAAAATAAGAAAGCCCATGAAACCAAAATAAAACTTCCACTTGAAAAGTGTAGAAAAAGACAGCGTTTTTATTATGAATATGACAACTTCCATTTTTGGTTGTATGAAAGAATAGATGTCCAGAAAAAGTCTTCTGATATGGAACTAAAATTCTGGATAAAATATAGTTTTAACTTTCTAGAATATACTTGTCTGAACTCTTGGGGAAAAAAGGAAGATCCTTTCCATAGATAGTAAGAAAGTAAAAATCCAGACTTCAACCTATCTAAAGCTGGTGTTTGCCGTGACAGCCTGTCTGGCTGTCCTAGGTGGAGGATAGACAACACCTGTGAAAACCGAGAGGGTGGAAGATATCACATGAAGGTAGAATCCCAGAAATATTACTGTAGGTATGTTCAAGAGGGGTGAACTGTGGGGGGTGCCCAAGAGACACAGATGGCAGAAAAACTTATCGATCGTCTTTGGATCGAAATGAGGAATATATATGGGAAAGAATACTTGGAGAATACTAACCACAAGTTTGTTATCACAAGTGTTTTAAGCCAAAATTTATGCCATCTTATTACCTACTTGTCAGTAAATCTAAGCTAAATATTTAGTTAAAAGAGCATCCAGTCCCTCCCTCAAAAAAAAAAAAAAAAAGCATCCAAATATTTGACTAATAGGAACAGAACAACAGAATAAACCTAAAGAAAGTAGAAGGCTGGCCGGGCGCTGTGGCTCACGCCTGTAATCTCAGCACTTTGGGAGGCCGAGGCGGGTGGATCACGCGGTCAAGAGATCGAGACCATCCTGGTCAACATGGTGAAACCCTGTCTCTACTAAAAATACAAAAAATTAGCTGGGCATGGTGGCGCATGCCTGTAATCCCAGCTACTCAAGAGGCTGAGGCAGGAGAATTGCCTGAACCTAGGAGGCAGAGGTTGTGGTGAGCCGAGATCGTGCCATTGCACTCCAGCCTGGGTAACAAGAGCGAAATTCCGTCTCCAAAAAAAAAAAAAAAAAAAAAAAAAAAGTAGAAGGATAGGAATCACAAGGGAAAAAATTTAATTAATTAACTAGAAAATGGAGAAACAGTAAAGTACATCTTTTGAAAAGATTCATGGAAGTAATGACCTGACAGAAAGGCCTGTGTCTAACCCCGCCGTGTTGCAGCTGGGGAGAGCACAGGTTTTACGGAAAAGTGCTGCTTCCAACTGGATAAAGAAAATGTAGTCCATACACACCATGGAATACTATACAGCCATAAAAAATGTCTTTTGTGAGAGCATAGATGGAAGCGGAGGCTATTATCCTTAACAAACTAACACAGAAACAGAAAACAAAATACTGCATGTTCTCTTTTCTTTTCTTTTTCTTTTTCTTCTTTTTTTTGAGACAGAGTCTCACTCCATTACTAGGTGCCAGGCTGGAGTGCAGTGGTGTGACCTTGGCTCACTGCAACCTCTGCCTCCCAGGTTCAAGCAATTCTCCTGCCTCAGCCTCCCCAGTAGCTGGGACTACAGGCATGTGCCACCACACCCAGCTAATTTTTTTGTATTTTTAGTAGAGATGGGGTTTCACCATGTTGGCCAGTGTGGTCTCGATCTCTTGACCTCGTGATCCACCTGCCTTGGCCTCCCAAAGTGCTGGGATTACAGGCGTGAGCCACCGTGCCCAGCCTGCATGTTCTCTAAGTGGGAGTTGAATGATGAGAACACGTGGACACAAAGAAAGAAACAACAGACACTGGGGTCTACTTGGGGGTGGAGAGTGGGAGGAGGAGAGGAACAGAGAAAATAATACTTGAGTCCTAGGCTTGATACCTGGGAGATGAAATGATCTGTACAACAAACCCCCATGACATTAGTCTAGCTGTATAACAAACCTGCACATGTACCCCCAAACCTAAAATAAAAGTTAAAAATTATTTTACATATATATATATATTTAAGTGCCACTTTCAACAGTTCCTGAACAGATGTGATGGCTGAGGGATAGGTCCAGGCAGATTCTAGATTTTCTATTTTATGGAAAATCCTCTCAAAAGCCAGTGAATGCCAGCATGGTCCAGGGAACAAAACCAAGAGCCCTGGACCCTCAAAGAGAAAGTAGAGGTGACTATTTAGGCCACAGAAAGAGGAAGAGGCAGATTATGGGACCAGCCTCAGAGCTGTTGGGGTCAGAGCCATCAGCCAGGCATGCAGTAGAAAGAAAGGTCACCTAGGACCTTGCAGGTCCCTTGGGGAGGGTGAGCAGTGCACAGACCAGATCTCCTCCTGTTGCCAGCAGTCCATGGACACTCCCACTGTGTTCCACCTAGAAATTCATATCTCTCCAGGGAGAAAGGAAGGAGAAGAGGGAAGGGAGAATTCCATAGGTGGTGTATATTTCCCAGAAGGGACTGAGTTGAAACTGAAGGCTACAGTTTGAATCAGAAAAATCTCTTCATATCTGAGTCCTAAGGCTCTAGAATTCACACTAGCTATAAAAGAATAAATGTGCAAAGAGGACTTGGAAAATCTAAATAACTGGACCTTGGAAAAGCCAGAATGGAGAGTTGGGTTGAGTCACAGGAGCTTTTTGCTGGCGTTTAGCCATTAATGTGATTCAGCTTCTTTCTTTTTATGCATGTGCTCCCTTCTCTCTCCTCTTCCAGATAGACAATTCCTTCTGTGTTTGCAAATCAGTTTTCCTAGAGAAAAGAATTGCATTGGCCCAGCTCACCAGTTCACACCAAGTCTCACCACAGTGAGCTGGCCCAGGGGCTTCCTTCGGGTGAGTCTTGCCTCCGCTACACCTTCCCAGTCTCCCCATACTGCCCCACCACCTCCTCTCAGGCATGTGTATGTCTGCAAAGACCAGCTCAAGCTGAGTGAGGCAAGCTTGAGGAGTGATATTCCTGGTATTTATAGTTAAAATATAGAAGAAAAATATACAGGCCACTATGATCTTGATTTTCCTGCCCAAGAATACGAGCCTAAATGAGGTAATGTGTGAGTGCTTTATGCAAAGGCCGGTGTGTACTAAGCCCTGTGTTAGCTATCGTAGGAGCCAAGGGAAGACTTCTCGTTGGCCTCCTGAAGGTTTGCTGAAAATTAACTGACAAAAGGCAGATTAATAGGAGAAAAGGCAAATGAATGTATTTGACCATAGTTTTACATGTCACAGGAGGCTTCAGAATGAAAACCCAAGGAGATAGATGAAACCGTCTACTTTCATGCTTAGTTTACCAAAATGTGGATGAAAAGGCTATGATCTATAATAGATTGAGTGGGGAAACCCAGTGAGACCCGTCTATTCATTTATTTATTTATATATTTTTTTGGAGGGGGACAGGGTCTCACTCTGTCACCCAGGCTAGAGTGCAGTGGCACGATCTCCACTCACGGCAACCTCTGCCTCCTGGGTTCAAGTTATTTTCCTGCCTCATCCTCCCAAGGAGGTGGGATTACAGGTGCCGCCACCACACCCTGCTCATCTTTGTACTTTTAGTAGAGACAGGGTTTCTCCAGGTCTCAAACTCGCGACCTCAGGTGATCCGCCTGCCTCGGCCTCATTACAGGAATGAGCCACCATACCCGGCTTCTATTTATGTTCTTCTTGGCTTCTGTGGAGGCTTCCTTTCTCTTGGGTTTGAGGCAGGACCCTCTCTGGAATGGGGCAGGGGTGGGGGTGGAAAGTCCTATGACCTACAGTCAAACAAATTAGGTCAAATCATTTCTTTATGGCCAGTTTTTACACAGAAAGGTGGCCTGAGTGGAAGAGTGGAGTTAGAATAATGTATTTCTGTTTTATGGCTTTGGGGGAAATGGATTTTGGTTTCCATGATGCACCTTGTGGAAGAGTTTCTTCTATGACGAGCCTTGGGAGAGAGACTGAGAGGCCAGAGACAGGAAGACAGAAGAAGGTCAGAGAGAGCTGCTTTCACGGTCTTCGTTTTGGGTTATCATTTTCTGAGATCTTACACTGTCATTATCAACAACATTAGATTAGAGCAAAACCTTGGGCTACCTTTTTTTTTTTTTGTAAGCCCCTTTCTGACTCTCCTTTTTATTATTTTTTTAACCTTCCTTAAAAATCCTCTAATCACTTTCTGTAATTATTCTATACATATAAATCCTACCTCTCTAACAAGGCCAGACAATTTTTTTTAGGAGTTTTTTCTTTTGAATTATCCATAGACTCCAGGGGAGTTTTATGCACAGTGAAAATGCTCAAATGATAGAATACTTTGCTATACGTTTGCTTTGTGAGGCATTGATTAAATTGTTCTGAACATTTATTGAATTTAATTTATTCAGTTGAATTAAAATTTCCTATTAAAAATAATTATTTGAAATTCACAGAAATTTTACTAATGAGCACCTAAAGAGTGGTCAGACACTGCGTGCCAGCTCCCCGCCATGCCAGCCTGTTCCATGCCTGTCTTACCAGTACGTCTATTCTCCAAACATTTCTGACATGGAGACTTAAGAAGATATGATAGCAAAAAATCAGACCTAGTTCATGATTCTAAAAAATAAACTTAGCTGGGCATAGTGAGGCATCTGTAGTCCCAGCTACTTGGGAGGCTGAGGTGAGAAAATCGCTTGAGGCCAGGAGTTTGAGGCCAGCCTGGGCAACAAGACCCTGTCTGGAAAAAAAAAAATAAATAAAAATAAACTTAAAACCAGTAATTTTTTTAAACTTTTCTTGTGGAAAATTTAAAACATATACAAAAAATAGAGGGAACAATTTAATGGTGTCTCAAACTTTAAGAGTTATCAACATTATGGCAAATCTTATGGTCAACTGTCTTTCATGCGGTATTACTTTGAAGCAAAAATCTAGATCTTCTGTAACCTTTCAGAATATATCCCTAAAAGATAAGGACTCCTATATTATATGGACTCCTATATGGTCCAGTATTTCCTTAGGACCATAAAATATCAAGTGTTCAAATTTCCCCAATTGCCTCCCGAATGCTTTTTAGAGTTTTACAGTTAAGATCCAAATGACGTCATGCTTTGCATTTGGTAATGTTTTTCTTCAATCTCTTTTCGTTGAAGGTTTCTTTCCTCCCTCCTTTCTCCCCGTTGTAATTTATTTGTTGAAAGAACTGGGTCATTTGTCCTATAAAGTTTCCCAAATCCTAGGTTTGCTGATAGAATCCTCATACTGTGTGAATTATGTTCTTTAGTCCCCCGTACTTCCTAGAAATGGGCAGATTTTTCAGCCTTGTGCAATAAAACTTTTTGTGATGATGGAAATGTTCTATATCTACATGTGGCTCTTGTGCTGGTGTGACTGAGGAATTGAATTATTTTTATTTTGTTCTAGTTAATTTAAAGTTGACCTCAAGCAGCTAGTGCCACCATATTGGACAGTACATGGAGGTTAACTGAAATGGAAATAGACACATAGGGCTACTGGCTACTGTGTTGGATTCAAGTTTGATTATTTACCAAGAATATTTCATACATGGTGAACCTCCACTAGGGGGCGCACAATGTCTGGTTGTCTGTAATGTTAGCAGCCCATTGTTGATCATTGTCCTTACCCATGCGTGGGAGCTGCTGAACAACGAGAAGACTCGATTTCTATCATTCCTTCTTCATTTATTAGCTGAAATCTATCAACAAAACTACTTCTCATCAATAGTTTGATTGCTCTGACTTATAATTTATACAGGAGAGGCAGAATAAATGCTTCTTTTTTTTCCTTTTCAGAAAAATGAATTCCCTTGTATTCTCCAAAGTAATCAATAATTTTCGTTTGCTTAGCATCATTATGAACTCATTGGTTTTAATGTGTTTCGATCCATTGCAGTTATTTTTCATTCTGATTCTTGAATTCTCCCATTTTTGGTCCCTTGGAGCCTCTTCCAGTTGACTTCTCTGAATCCTTTTGCTGTGACCCCGGTAGTTTGTGATAGCTTTTTTGCCTGTAATATGACGAAAGGTTCTGGGATTGTCATAATCACTTCCTGCCCAAGTTAATTATCCATTTTCCTAAGAAGTCCTGTTTTCTTTATGTGGGAGATTGTGTTTACAGACCATTGTCTGGGTACTAGGCTAAATGAATGACACTGGATTCATCATTTTTTCTAGGCCTTTCTAGCATAATTAAGAAATATTTTCAAGAGAAAATATATCCTGTGCTTATATTTCTAATTCAAATTTAAAATTACATGGTTTTTACTTTTCTAACATTATATTTGTAATTCTTAAATTGAAAATCTTGGTTTATAATTATTTTATTTTATTTGTTTATTTTGAGAGAGTCTTGCTCTTTTGCCCAGGCTGGAGTGCAGTGGTGCGATCTAGGCTCACTGTAACCTCCACTTCCTGGGTTCAAGTGATTCTCCTGCCTCAGCCTCTCAAGTAGCTGGGACTACAGGCCCCCACCACCATACCTGGCTAATTTTTGTATTTTTGGTAGAGATAGGGTTTCACCATGTTGGCCAGGCCAGTCTCGAACTCCTGGCCTCAAGTGATCCACCTGCCTTGGCCTCCCAAAGTGCTGGGATTACATGCGTGAGCCACTGAGCCCTGTGAATAATGAATGAACAATTATTTATTTGCTGTAACGTATTACATACATAATAGTTTAGAATATAGCGATATTATTACTAACAACATGACTGCTGGAAAAATTGAATTTGTTTGCTTTTTGTTTTTGTAGTTTTTTTTTAATCTTTGGTACATCCCAGTCAAATTATGATGTTTTAAAATACCTTGAAATGGCTCCTTCACTGTGTGTTTCAGTCATCCACTTAATCTACAATTGGGTTTGTTAATTTCACGTTTGATTTTTACATTATATGATATTATATAAAACATTTACGTGAATCCAAAGCCAAATTTTAAGGTAATTTCCAGAATATCTGGCATCTACTACTATTTCCTCCTTCTGTTGTCTCTCCCAGCTCTCTGGGGAGCTTTTTTTAAAGTTAGGTTTTGGTTTATCTTTCACTTAAACTAGTGAATCTGGAACTTTAAAAAATGACAGAGTAACTTGAGCCACGAGAATTCCCACCTTCTTTCAGGGCTTCACCCATCCTTCCCTCTTTCCATTTGATTTACCCCGAGTGAGGATGACGACAGTGACAGTACTAGTGACAGTGTTGCCTAAGTGTGGCTCTGGTCTGCAGTTGAAAATACTGAGTTGCTTCATACTATTTTTTGTGTTTGTTAGGGTCATAAAGTAGATATGAAACCATTTCACATTTTCTGCTGCTATATCCTTTGCTCCCTAAAAAATCAAAATGGTTGCAGCAGAGAAATAGCAGCATCAAAACTCATATATCCTCAGTGAGAAATCTGGGACCATGCACTTACTGAATCCTAGAAAAATAAATCTTTGGGAGGAATAATTTAGTCCATTACCCTGCTTGGGTCTGCCCTAGATGTATCTCAGGTAACTATTATCATGATCAACACCAAAAATAGACTTGTAATAGAGCTTCACGTGTGGTAGCCATTGAAAATGCACCTTGCAGATCTGCAACTACAGGGAGTGTAATTGAGGGAGTCCTAGTGGCTGATGCACTTCGCAATCAATTCTAGCATTTTAAAAAATAGCATCTTTATTGAGATATAATTCACATACCATAAAATTCACCCTTTTAAAGTGTACAAAGCAGTGGTTTGGGGTATGTACACAAAGGCGTGCAACCATTACTATTATCTAATTCTGTAACATTTTAATCATCCCAAAGGTGCCAAGCATGGTGGCTTAAGCCTGTAATCCCAACACTTTGGGAGGTCGAGGCAGGTAGATCACCTGAGGTCAGG